AGCTAAATTTAGCTTTATGAAAACTATGGGAAGTAGAATTGTTTTCGTGGGCCAGGTTTTGTTTGCCGAGTTCATCCTCGGGATCGCCTATCTTATCACTACGAGGCAGTTGTTATTTTGTGTAATTTGTATGCAATTTCCGAATTCAAAGTTACCTACACTTTCAAGCACAGTGTGATTTCTTTCAATCGGAATATTTTATCATTGAACATTTGAATATTTCCGCGGTTTAATTCCATACGATGTGACTTAACAACTAGTGCTTTTTATTGGATCTTGAGTGATTTGGGTTCCATATTCGTTTTGTGTTTTTATCAACAACCCCTACACAATACTCAGCTTTTCCCAAGGACCAAAAGAACGGGAGAAAAACAAACGGATTAACCTGTTTCCGATCCCGTATGGAAATTAGGGCCTACTGGGAGATGTGCAACAATGATTATATTCCGGAGAAACGGTAAACCGAGTTCTAAAGAGTCCCGAGCACTGATTCATTGGAACACTCAATTCCGGATGGGATAACCCCGCCTGACAATGTCCATCATTCAACTCAGTATTTTCGTCAAACTAGTTATTCGTTGTTTGTCATTTATTTATCTTGTGACCGATAATCACGAAGTAATATGCATTTTACTAACCCAATAATCTCATTTACTGATGGTTATATTGCTAATGTGATAAGGCATCCCTTAGGAGAACAACGGAATCTCCACAAAATTATTCATTATTGTTTTCATCAATCTCACAAACACATATAATGTATTTGGGAACGACAGAAGAGTACACCAATAAGTAATCGATCATCACAGATACATAAATACTACAACGTTAAATCCAGTCCGAAATGTTCTATTATTTTGTTCATTTATTAGATAATTCGTTTAGTAGTAAGCAACGTCACAGCCAACGATCAGTGATTGTCTGCTATTGGTTCACTTTGAAACACCTCCGGCAGATTGGTCACAATATAGATTATTTTCATTGGGTTGATGTGAGAAATTAAAGCGGGAAAGAGAATGAATTGTCTGGGTGTTTTCATCTTTTCCTCGCAGCCCAGCGCTTTTGAATGACAATTAGATTTATATTCAACGAGAGGGGCTGTCGACACGTTTGTTAAGCAGCGTGCGAACGGGTTTTCTGTCTAGTCTGAATAAAGGCAGTAAAGTTTGATCATCATTATCGGTAGTACTGCATCACTAGAATTGGAAAAATTCCGAGATGCTGAAATAGTCATATCTTACTCATCTCTGCATAAATGAGACTATTCGATAAGACGTTTATTGACCAATTTATAAATCGTCGAGTAAAAAGATTTCGTAAATCGTTCATTCAAACGTTATGCATTTGTCCCAATGCACGCTAAATGGCCAAGTTAGTTTGTTTATCTCACGAACTCTGTGAGACAGATTTGATTCTCTATTAAGAAAGTTGAGCTATTTCCTTATTGTATTATTACCTTGCTCAAAAATCCATTTCCGTTGTTTTCACTCAAGTAAAACAATCTGTAGGTCATCTTAGTTCATTAATAGAAGAACCATAATGTTTTACAATCAAATATATCTGACTGGTGACTTAAATCTACGATTTTCAGTATAAAGGAGACCAGTTGAAATTCTGCCACATGGTAAATGTATGTATTTTCAGTAGAAATTATTCTGCTTATCGATAAGGTGTTGTTGTTTGGGGAAACGGATCATCTGTTTCGCGTCCGAGACCACCAGGAGTGTCTGGAGCCAGCAAACAATCGAATCGATTAAACCAAACATGGCATTCAAAATTTATTGGGCCATTTGCCCAAGTGTTTGCTATCGACCCTGTGGCAAAGGATTTTGAATCACAACCTGGATGTTGGCGGTTTGAGCCCTTAAACTGCTGACCCGCTCCAACAAGAGTAAAACACATCGCTCGTGATAGTTCATCGGCCCTCATGGGTAAATTATTTAATCTTATTCTAGTTTAGTTAGATTTTGAACTGCAATACATGAGGACAATGCTGTTGGTGATAATATTTATATATTTTGTGGCTATGTGGTTGAATTGTTTGTTCAACAATGCGAACCAAGGATTGCTTGACGTTTTAGCCTAAGATTATATAAGCAGTACATAACTAAATAAACAAAACAACAACCAGCTTACTTCAGTTGCTATCAATTTCGCGGTACATTATCATACAAATTCAGTTGTTTTCGAAACTTCTTATCCTTGTAAACCGAATAAAAATTCGCCTCACTTCGACTCGCTCTCCCTAATTCATTTTTCAGATAACCAAAAGCATACAGCAAAATTTAAAACAGCATCTTAACCCCAAAGCGCGCATAGCCAGTTGAGCCACTCACCTCCCGGTTAGCCTGTACCGCGATGAATTCGGCAAAAATGCGTTGTGCCCGTGCTGCAAGCTTTTTCGGATTGGTGATCTGTTTGTACTCCTGACACGCAATCCAGAATTCAATGTTTTCATCACTGAATTCCGTGCTGAGAAAATCCTTGAACAAGGCCAATCCGACTGTGCGTTTCATGTGAATAGATGCAAAATGTGAAATTATTTTGCGTGCATTTGAAGTCAGTGCAAGTATCTATTATTGTTTAATCTGATATACATGCGCCTCATAATAACTAAATGATAAGGAGGCTACCTTTTATGATTCATCGGTTTTAATTGATAGATTGCAAGGAATAATTACATGAACAATGGTTATAGGAAAAGGTTTTAATAAATAGAACAGCCGGGTTACTCAAAATGTCTGTTATCCACGAGATTTAGAGGATAACACGCTTTTTGTATTATCATGGCTCCATGAAAAGATGTATGCTTACCTAGTTCATAATAGAGAATGTGCTCTTTCAACAACTGTTTCATTGGAGATATAACATGTGAGTAAAAGCCAATTTGTTTTGCTTTGAAACCTTCACACTGCTAACCCTTCGGTTAAGGCAATACTCATAGGTAATTCCAAAAATGGTTGAATTCCATGAAACTGTAGCATAGCTCGTTAGTAAGTAGTATATACTTTTAAGTAGTGTAGAACCTTAAGTGGGACGTTTTTGGGGAAAAAACAGAGACCACAATTATACCTATTTTGCAGTATTTTTCCTTAATCCTATTACGTATAATCACTCGCTGTTTAGTTGAAGCAAAATCCGAAAAACTGCAATCTGGAGTAGTCAGATGTATGGAAGAAAGTGATATAATTTTGATACATTAAGATTACCATGGAAACAATATGTTTCGTATTTTCAATTTCTTTTAAGACACACGGTTTCCCAAAATTAATTGCTTTTCCTTCACCAAGTCATTCTTATTTTGTTCTTAATGACGAAAATTTTCGTTTAATTGCAACGTTACTTGTAGGTGGTTTTTCAAACTAAGGGAAAATGATTTCGTGCAAGAAAGGAGAAGAAAAAGATACGAAATTACTTTTTTATCATTCATGTGTAGAGTTTCTACTTCACAAAGTGACATCATGAATTAATCATTCAAGGCATCGTGGTTGATTTTGCGCTGCAGACAACCGGGGCAGAATGGCTAAACCCTGGTTCGCGGCACAGTTGTGACGCAATAATTAAGCGCTATAGGGTTACTCATAAGCAGAATGAAACCGCAAAACATATTCAATTTGTTATAGTTGTTAGATAGGCATTTGTGTTTTAAGGCTGAGCATCTTCTTAACAAGTCAACTGAAAGTATACTTGACCGGCCAAACTTGGACGGTAATCTTCCCGTGACTTGCTGTCCGGCGACAGAGACTATCGACCGACTGGCAATCTTACCCCACACCCGGATTTAACATTGGGGACAATGTGTGGTCATCGTCCACAAATACAGCGGAAAGACAGTGGTCACGTTAGGCGTTAAGTTTGCTTCCATTAGCGTGACTAGTTTTACGACCGAAAACGGGGCATTTATTTCCAGTATACCACTAATGACAATTGCGATACTCGGACCATAGAATCTGGTTGAAATTATTCGCTTTGCCTTGGATTTTGGGTTTGCTTTATCGCAAAAGTCATCCATGCGCTTTTGGAACGGTTGTGATTCCATAGCTCTCTTTTATTACCCGTGACAAAGAGACATCACGGTGGTTGAAATTTTCCAATAACAAGCGTTGATTGCTTGTCCCCAGCCATGCTTTCTCAAACGGTAAGTTTACTTTTAAATTATTATTTTTACTGCTAGCTGATTAAAATACAAGGAAGTTTCCTGATCGCCAAAAGATTTATCCTCACCTGCTTATTCATGAATAACTTCTTCTCGACCCCAGTGCCTCCCGCCTTACTTTAAAACTGCCACAGCGAATCTAAAACGTCAAACGCTTTGAACGGCTCTTGTCTCTCTCTGTTCAGCAGTTGGTGTAATATCCGTCTATTAACGTGCAAAACTGCACTTGGAAAGCCTTTAATTTATCACGATACACGTTTCTTGCCAACCGGAAAGCCTTTTTACAGAATGTACCACAAGTGAGGCTGTTTCTTGAAAAGGAAACCTGAATATTTGGAACACACTGAAAATTGATCGAAGTGTTTCACACCTTAGACACACATATACATTCATATATACATACGTATATATATACACATATATAATCTCAGAGGCAACAAGTGAAGTGAATTTCTTCTAAATATTAGTGCTTTATATGTTTGCTTGTTTCAAGATGCTAATGTACACATAGACAGAGATATGTTCCACCCTAAACTGTAATATCATTCAAATAACCGCAGTACATCTGACAGGTCAATGTAATTAAACAATTTGTGACAAGGTAAGCTTCTTTTTTCTGTCTGCCCGAATGAGACTGAGAAACGTCAATAACGTTAAACCATATTGCCACCACATACCCTAGTTAACATCAATTGGCGGATTCTTCAGATGAGAGTGAAGCAATTAACGGTTATTATCCCCACCGCCACTCCGGGTTTATTACACCAGCCCAAAAAGGGCCTTGTTCCATTAGCAGCACGAGGTCGAAAAGCCAACTGTTTTTTTTATATTTCAATCACGTCAATTTAAGTTAGGAGATTTGGAACATCGAATGGCAGGGCATGTGCGCAAAAATTGGTTTCGTCTGTGATTGCGTTTCTGTTGGTGCAATGGAGTAGCCAGTGATGCCGTCCAACTGCTGAATCGGAATGGGCTTGTAAGGTCACAGACATTACCATCTTTGTCGCATATCAGTTATTGTAACGGCTTTATGCGGATCAAGGCCATTGGAGATGGATCGAATTGATGATAGGTCAAAGGTTAAAGGCTGACACAGTACTGCCCTGGTATGCATATCTAGATCTGTGTGAACCCATTAGGAAATGATTGGTCGGTGATTCTATATCCTTGGTTGGGGTCAGTATGACATCAAATGCCTACTGTGGACTAGAAGGAATAGCCTCAAGTTTTGTCCTCAGTCTACCATGAAACCAGTAAAAAAAACCAAACATCTGAGGCGAGCGTTGAGCTGAAATGGTCAACAAATGATTTGAATAAACCCGTAGTTCGTGGTCAACAATAAGTTAAAATAAATTAACCCAAAAGGCCTGCATAAATTACCTTAACGCTTCCCCAAAATGGCATTGCAGTTAACCTCTTATCTTCACTGCTCACGTGATTTTTGAGTTTGTAGTTGATAATAGACCATGTCTTAAAAGGCTCGAAGGAATTAAACATATTTTTCAAAATTCGTTTAAGGTGTTAGTATAACCTTATTGCACTAGGTCAGATTGGTGCTCTGACCCGGGAGCTCAAAATATACCACCAGAGGAATCACCGTGTAGCAACCGATAGAAAGTAGAATGATAAGCATATTTACATGTTACCATTATTACTCTGTTG